CTAAAAAACACGTAGGTAGAAGATAAGTGCGCAAGACTGTCTCTTTGAATATAGAGTTATTTATATCCGTCTACTATTTCGATATAGTGCGACAGGGTGATGATTTTTTTTTTAATTCACTATGTTCTAGTAAAGGTCGTGGCCCGGAGGAAAGTCGTGGTGGCCCGGAGGTTTAAGACACCCGCTTCTCATGCATGATGGTGCGGGTTCGAAACCTACCAACGGCAAGTACCGTATGACTTTTTCCGAGTTATATGTACTTTCTAAGATTATTTGGACACCACTGACAAACGGTGAAGGAAAACATCGTGAGGAAACCTGGGCTTATAATTTCTAATTATAAGTTTGTAACCGCCAACCCGCATTGAGCAAGCGTGGTGATTAATGCTCAAACCTTCTCAGTGTGAGAAGAGGCTTTGCTCAGCAGTGGGCATTTAATGGCTGTTGATGATGATGATGATGTTCTTGTAAAATTTGGTTTATTTAACCGACTATCTCGCCTAGTGGTAAGCGATGATGCGGTCTACGATGAAGCACGTCTGGCCGTGAGCAACATATTCACACGGGCCTTAAAGACACCCAGGTGAGTACCTCAATTCCACAAATTAAAAGTATTTGTAATTGGGTGGAACACAATGTATTCGATAGCTATCCTCTATCCAAACTCCACTCGTCAGCTCTTAGCAACACGGAACTACCAAATATGCATCAAGTCAGCCAAGATTCACGAAATCCGTTACACTTTACACTGTAGCAACATGGCAAGGAAGCAAGTTTAATTTATACATAACACTACTATGTAGTATCCCGTACTCAGTGCTTCCACTATAAGTACAACAATAGTATTTTTCGACACTCGATAGCGATGACGTAAAGTTCTATGGCAAATCTTAGTTCCGCATGTAGCCGCTAGAGGCACTGTAATATTAGTATGTAAAAAAAATTACATTGTGTTATCGAGTATTGACAAATAGGTACTACTGAGCTCCTATGTCGATTTTTACGTTACCGCAATCGTGAGGTTTCCACAATCTGCCTTCTAATTGGTTGATGAATTGGAGCTGGCCAATCAGAGCGCTGAACGTCATAAAGGTGACGATCGCGTCGACTTAAAAAGAAACTCACACTAGGCCCTCAACTAAACACATGGTAGAAGTACTGACCATGTATGCCTTCCATGATCCAGCGAAGATTATGCAAGTTTCCAAATAGTTGACGGGCTATGCACTTACTCAGTAACTTTGAGTAATTGAAAACTGTCCAAGTTCGTCGACCATGTGCCGTACACTTGAGTGCATTCACTCGTTACACAAATATTGGAGTTAACTCGTTTGTATTGTGTGGTGTTTTGTATGGTCGAAAATGTACGAAACTTTGGTGAACTACAATAATAAAGATTGATTTATTTCGTGAATGATTGACATACATAACATAACACCAACCACTGTACAATTAATAGGTACCCCCTTTTCACTATTTATGTTATGAGTCCCATGTAATAGGGGGTGAACCTATTGCCATATACCGGGCACAGTTCCAGACTCCGTGCTACTAGGAATTTTTAAAACACCCAGTTATACTTTGCCCGACCCAGGAATCGAACCCGAGACCCCTTGCCCGGCAGTCGCAATTGCGACCACTCGGCCAACGAGGCAGTGAATGATTGAATTACATCTAATTTTCCAATATAATTATAATCATTCATGACAGTTTCTTTATTTAACCTTGCGCTACTTTATGTCTACTGTTGTATACACAGCTAGTGTAGACTAGCTGTCCGATTTTTGTCTAACAATAGCTGTTGGTAAATATACTAAGAATGATTATTTTTTTGTATCACTACAGTATCTATATATTTGTAAATAACATAATTATTTCTAATATAATTAAGTCAATACCTAATTAGGTATAGTCAATACTAACTATACCTAATTGCAAGCTCTGTAGGGTTCTACCAACTTCTACAAAAAGAAAATGAAACTAAGACATAATTTGATTATCATTTTTAATATCAAATTATCATGTGTACATGAGGTATACTATACAATACATAACAGAGTAATATATTGAGCAATGGAAATCTTATATAGGTTTAGGTATCATATAAGTCTTAACGATCAAGTCTTGTACATGCAGTATAGAAACACTCTTTAATATCATGCAATTATTCTAGAGAATATGAAAGTTTAAATTTTTATTGTACTAATAATTCAATGCATTCAAATATTTCACTATGCCCATATATATGGGCGCTACAATTTCGCCGTTTTTAAACAATAGGGATGATGACAGGGTATGAAAATTAAAAATCGAATTACCCGTCAGTTAAATAATGAAATAATATTAGACACGTATTTAATTTTGTCGTATAAGAAAACAATACTGAGATATAACGAATCAAAGTTTTGGAGGGGAGGTGGCTACGTCATTTTAGAGTATAAATCGGAATCAAAAGTGACGTCATGCGATATTTCAAATCAATATAATTATTATCTTCGAAACTATTCGTTTCCGTAAGAAAATAAAAAATACGTGTCTAATGTTTTTAAATAATAATCTACCAGACGGACATTAAAATAAAAATTAGTCATCTACCCTATCTATTACACTTGCAGCACTCTATTTAGTGTATAGAAAATAATACATGATTTTTTTAGAGGTATATTAATATGTCATGATAAATATTATTAACGCCTTAACCAAATAATTTCCACACCGTGTTACTTCGTTTTTGTTCCGCAGCAGAACATCTTGCCAAAAGAAGTACTTTCAATGTATAAAATACTAGCTTTTACCCGCGGCTTCGCCCGCGTCACAAAAGGATAAAAAGTAGCCTTTGTGACATATACCAATACTCACAGCGCCATCTATACCAATACTTTTGTTTTTCCTCAGGAATATCACATTTTTCCGGGATAAAAAGTACCCTATTATTTAATCTGGACTTCTAACTTTACGTCCGCAAAATTTCAAAGCAATCGGTTTAGTCATTACGGCGTGATAGTGGAACAAACAAACAAACAAACAAACTCACTTTCAGATTTATAATATTAGTAAGGATAACCAAAAAAATTAAGACGTAATTTTTTAAATTTAAAATGAACATAGAAATACGCACATGAAACACTAGACATAAATTTATAGGTAATATTCGCATCGCATTGGCGCCTGACAAGAAATACCTCTTCGAGAATTACACGGCGTGATGTTTTGATAATGTACTATGAGTTCGTATGCGCATTCAAAGTTTGCTTTTTTGCAATGGTTCAGCAGTATTTTTTTTTGTTTTAAAACATTAAATTCCTCTGTAAAACTATTGAATTACCAAGACAGAACCATTTTACTTCGGGAAGAAAACGAAATATATTTTATGGTGTATTTTCATAACTGAATTTTCAAAACCTATAATTATCAAGTTTATTATTGACGTAATTATTGGAAGGAAACTGAAATGTACCTAAACAGAATCTGCGTAAAATACTAATGGTAAGAAATTAATCCTTGTCGCTAAAATAATCTATAATCCTTTACATACAGCGTGCATCGACAGACAATAGAGAACGTTGGTGCTTTGGAATCTAAACTTTATTACCATTACACAAATACCAATTTATATATTATTATTTATCGTTTCACACCAATACACACTAGCCTACTAAACCACAATCTCATAAAGCCCTCAAACACATTTACAGGAAAAAATATGTTAACACTAAAACGCCAGAATTTGGTAATGTCAACATGTTTTATTGGACGGACAGTATCCTGTGATAAGAAAATTCAATTTAGAACTTTATAGCGTACACTATAAAGTTGGGAATGGCAGAAATATATTCGGGATTGATATAAAAAATACTGTTGGCTATCACCATCTTGTAATTTCGGCAATAAAAGTGTACGCCATGCCGGATCCGTTCCACGGAATATTATTATTACAATTTTATTGCTATTCCTAACTGGTTAGTGATGCTCCTCTAATATTTATTTATCACGGACAAAAAATATAAAAATGGTAACATAATTTTCTATATTACCTAAACGTAAAAAATCTTAAAAATACCTAATCTCCGACTTATATACTAGAATATATTTACAAATTATCTATGATTGCTATTTTGTGCTCATTAAGAAGTGAACTTTTCAGACAGTTTATAATTATTAATAAAACTATACCTACCCACTGTCTACACCAGAGTCTGTCTTGTAGTAAAAAGTCAAAAAAATGGTGACTAAATTTGTGTAATTTCTTTATACATGGATAAAGTCGATATGGGTAAATGCAGGTGTAAAGGTGCTCCCTCACCGGGAGCATTTACGTGTAACGTAGCATTACAGAGTTTGAGTATTACATTACAATAATACCTCCCTGCATTTACGACTATCGACTTTGAGCATTTCATAGAAAGATGTCAGACATTGATGTTACAAGTTGTATCAAGATATTACACATTGTATCATTACAAGGTGCGCATTGTAATGCTCGGTTCTCCTCCTTCACTGATGTAATGCTCAGACTTGTAACGTTACATTACACGCGAATGCTCCCGGTGAGGAAGCACCTTAAGGAGAACACTTCAAAAAAACGAAGACAGGTTATAGTAGAAAACAAGTTATATAATCAAAAAATAAAAAACCAATATTTATTTTATGTAATAATCGTTGTAATCAACTGTTCAACGCTGATGTTGCATAAATAACACAAAAAGACTTTTCTGTCTTCGTTTTTAGAAGCGTTCCGATTACACCCTGTATTAGTACATTATCCTAACCTAATCAATTCAAATTACCTATATAACATACTATATACACTTAACAAGGTTACAAATACACACGCTTTTAAAAATTTATTTCAATTTAAAGTTTTCATTAACATTTTCCGATACCTTCTGACACAATTTCACAACAAATCGCAATCTTCTAGCTAAATAAATAAAACCACCTGTGTAAATATCACACAGTGGCTTTCGCTTACAATATAAAACTAGGACTAAAACACTAAACTACGAATCTAATTTAGATTGACTAGTGTTCCTCGATGATTCCACCGATGATACCTCTTTTCTTGCATTGTCGCTCAGAACGGGCCGAGCTGAAAATAAAAATAAATAAAGTTGATTAACTATTTAAATAGATATTTAGCAACAAAATCATAGTTATTCATAACAAAATGGCATCATATATAAAGACAGTTTTCTCCTGACAATAATTGTAATGCAACAATACATCCGTTTAAAATCTATTGCTGTATTATTTTTGGCAGGCGCTCGTCAAAAGAGTTGATTTCATATGCGCAAGTAATATCCTGACAGTACACAGTTTAAGCTTACTATGACTATATCATTTTTGTTCCAAATGAATCACCGATAACTCAACTTTCAAGTAAGTTGATACTAATCGAGCTAAACCGCGGTCAAATCTAAAAATATAAACTCAAATGTCTCATTAAAACCAAAAGTTATGAATGAACAAATTGATATAAGAGAATTTTACGGTTCAATAACTTTGTTCTCGTATTTTGATTGCAGTTTCAACTTTGTTAAGACTCTAATGGCAAAGTTAAAAGTGTGATCATTGATCTAACTACATTAGTTATTACAAGTTAGAAATCTGAGATTTGTTCTTAGATATTCGTTTCAATTTCATTCAAAACTTATTGAGTTATAGAGACTTTTTGAGTAAGTATTTAAGTTGAATTGTCTTTGATGACTCAGTAACATGCAGACACACACGTACATTATTAAACGCGCATACAATTTACTACATATTGTTGTTTTATGTGATTGATAAGTAATACAATACAATTTTGGGCATTAATTCCCTGACCGATTGCTTCCTATTGGAGCAATAACATCTCAGGCATTCGTTTCAAATAAATACAAGTTATATAGTAACTTTCACTTTTAAGTGTGGGAGAGCCATGCTTCGGCACGAATGGGCTGGCCGGAGTGATACCACGGCCTCAGAGAAGACTGATGCGATACAACGTTGTGTTGTGTTTCGTCGTGTGAGTGAGGTTACCGAAGGCCCAATAAAAAATCGTGGGGCTCCGGCTCGGAGTGTAATAGTAGGAACGGGGTGGTTTTTAGTCAGTAAGAGTCTGACACTCCCTCCCGCCTAACCTAGGCGGGAGAAGTCAATCGAAAAAAATAGTTAGTAGTAACTTACCGAACATTCGAAGAAGAATTTTTTCGATCCCGTGTAGCGGTGACTCGAAAGTTAAACATAGAAATAGGGCAAGGAAGAATGTCAGCACAATGTGGGATATTGCATTCGCCATCTAGAAAAAGAAAAAAATTATATACTTATTTCAAGGGTCAATAAAATCCAAACACTTGTTCAACTCTGATACATTCTTATACAAAAACTTTAAAAATCTTTTAACTATGTAAATACTAACCGAGAAAAAATATTAACAACTAATCATACAATTGGGTAGTTTCCAGGGTATCAAAATTAAAAATCTAATTATTCCATTATATTAATAATTAAAAAATATTAGACACGTATTTTTTTATTTTCTCGTATAAAGTTGCAATACTTAGATAAAATGGCGCTAAGTTTAGGAGTGGGAGGTTGTTACGTCCTAACGTGCTACAAAATGTGGCACGCTGTGACGTCGCACGAAATTTTAAATTAATATATCGTCGAAAGTATTTAATTTTGTAAGAAAAGAAAAAATACGTGTCTAATGTTTTAAATTAATGTACCAGATGGACATTAAAATAAAATTTAGGAAACTACCCTACAAGGTATTGCTCGATTGGTATTTACGAGGTAATTTATATCTATCTACCAGATTTAACTTATGAATATACTCACAACTGTAAAGAATGTGATATGAAGTGGATGTCTCAATTCACCGACATAATACAACTCAACGATGCCGTTCACCAGATAGGCACAGAACGTTAATCTTGAGAAAGGAGCCAAAAACTTCCATGTCAGTAGTTTTCCCAAGAAACCTGAAATAAAAGATACAAAACATAAGCTATTTAAATAGGTTGGAGGATGGAGTTCCTTGCTCGTTCTTCTCCATAGGAATCTACACCTTGGAATGAGCAAATAGCTTCGCTTTGAATTTATTTTTTGTTGGCGTTCAAAAGTGCCTTTCTGGTCGAATTGAAATAAATGATTTTGATTTAGGCTTTAGGAAAGTTTTTTTTTTTAACGTTGCCCCACACTAGGATTTTCTCCTGTATCGTGGGTGCGTTTACAAAAACACAAGTTCACATACACATGACACCCAGACCCGGAACAACAATCTGTGGATCACACAAAGAATTGTTCCGTGCGGGAATCGAACCCGCGACACGTTGCGCGGCAGCCAGTTGCCCAGCCACCGCGCCAACCGTGCAGTCAGATATAATATAAATGTTGATAGATTACTAGGGATTCCACAAGGCAGTATACTTGGTCCACCTCAATTTTGACACTATTGTCAAACTTAGTTGCAATTAATCCAATAATAAATATTATCTTGAAACAAAAAGTAAAATTACTATTACAAAATATATTATTACCTCCATTTCCTGTAGCACAAGCAATAATCAGCCATCCATTGGAAATACCCCACGCAAGTTTATGCAAAGAGATATACGCAGCGGCCTCTAGTGCGTTATACTGGTACCATTCTTGGTAGAAAATAGTTACAGTGAAGGTGGAAACTACTCCAAGTATAAGACCAGTCATCCATCCAAAAGTTTTCATCATAAATGTGAATTGGTAGCTAAAATAAAAAAAAATAAAAAAATTATATAGGTACATATAAAACGTTGCCCCACATTAGGATTTTCTTCAGTGTCGCGGGTGCATTTACAAACATGCAATTTCACATACACATGACACCCAGACCTGGAACAACAATCTGTGGATCCCACGAAGAGTTGTTCCATGAGGGAATCGATCCCGCGGCACGCTGTGCGGCAGCCAGTTACACAGGCGCCGCACTAACCGTGCAGTCAGTTTTTATTTATTTTTTTCATTTAAAATTGTGAGTATTGTAACAACAAAACATCAAATACTTAATTGTTATAAATAAGACTGCCTCGTTGGCCGAGTAGTCGTAAGTGCGACTGCCAGGCAAGGGGTCTCGGGTTCGATTCCCGGGTCGGGCAAAGGTATTACTGGGTTTTCAAATATTCTCAGTAGTAGCACGGAATCCGGAATTGTGCCCGGTATATGGCAATAGGCTCACCCCCTATTACATGGGACTCATAACATAAATAGTGAAAAGTGGGTGTTACATTGTACAGTGGTATAATGTGCACCTCTGCCTACATAAATATAAAAGGCGTAATGTTATGTTATGTTATAAATAAGTTCAATATTAATTTCAGTGACAATAATAAATAACAGAATTAACATTGTTGGGGGTATAAAACACTATAACCAATAATAATTATGCATTATTAAACAGCATTACAGAGGTACAATTCCGAGTTATATTTAGGTTTTAAAATATTTCTCAGTATTAATATCACAGTGTTGATGTTATGAGGTTCTAGTAAACAAATACATACATATATGGATGTTAACTTACTTTTCAGTTTGTATCCGATGTAGAATATAACCAGTCAGGATCCCAATGAAATAAATTATTGTTTTCATGTGGGTTTTGATGTATGCTTCGTTGAAATAGAAGTTGGATATTATGTCCGTAAACTCTCTGTAATAAAACAATAAATAATTACATTATTAAAAATATTCTTTAGTATTGTCTAATTAGGAGCAAAGTCTAAAATCCATTATGTTATTATTATTGTATTCCCTTTAAAACAACGAAAACTATCATCAACATGGTCCAAACAAGAAAGAGATGTTTGTTAAATCAACTTCTACAATAAAATTAAATAGTTATCTTAACTTGAATTATGTAAACCAAAATAATACAGTAAAACATAACTTACTTGGCATAAAACAGAAGCGTAGGATCCAAATTGTCTCTATACGTGATAACAGCAGGAACGATCAGAGATATGACGAGAGCTATCGATGTAAGAATAGGACCAAACTTCCTCCACCGCCATAAACTGTAGATGAAGATGGGAGCTATGAAGAACAGCTGCGTATCCACTGAGAGGTACCAGGATTGGAACATGCACTGGAAAAAAAGAAATTCATGTTAGGTATCTTGGACTCAAGCGAAGGGTCTTCAGATGTTCAAAAACTTTTAATTAAACCGCAAAGTTGAGAATGGACTAACGAAATGTAGTCGTCACATATGCCATCTATCTTATAATCCAGAAATTATGAAACAAAACTAAAAGCCAAATATGATTGAGTACAGTATAGAAAATTCTCGATATCACATTACGAGTAATGTTATGTACTTTTTTGGACTCTATTCGGGGAAATCGGTTTACATATATCGGAAATTGGTCGCAGATTCGCGGTTGTAAATTAACCCTGTACAAAACATGAAACCGAATAATATTATGACCATATTGACTGATTAAATGTTAAGCAATACATCTCTTTACATGACTTGGGTATATGCCTTTGCATAAGAGGTAAAATAAGCGTAATTGCAATCACACTCAACCAACGAGCAGAGTAAAGTAACTTATAAAAAATCTATACAAAAACTGACCAAATATTTAAAAAATCTTGGCTAACTTTATGAAGTTTTGAGCTGACAGACTTTGTCGTCGCCTCTCCAACGGTGTTCAGTGCATAAAAAGATATTACGCTTACAATAAAGCCTGGGACATCATGAAACTAGTCCACTGTGTTCCAGTTAAACTTTAACTATCTCCTTTTGTGTTATTTTGCTTTATAAGATGGTAATATTTATAGTTTGACTGCTTTGTGAAGTGATCACAATTGGTAAGCTAAAGAGGCAGAGTAAAATCTTTTTTATGTATAACGAGAAGTTTTACACTGCTTCTGGTATGTCATACTTATTAGTAGTTTTGACTCCTTTCACACTCATATACACTGCACATGATGGTACAGCCACTGAACTAAGAAAACAAGTCTATGAATTACATACTAAACGTACAAAAGTTGTTGGACACATTAAGATTTTCAAAATCGCTGCACACCGTATCATACCTAAATCGGAGAACAGGACAAACATTCTATAGGCAACACAAGATAATTATTAATTTCTGGTTACATGTTGATTGATTTCGGTGCTAACGTGATAATGCTATACAGCGATTTTGAAAACCTAAACGTATTCTCGACTTTGGATGCAGAAAGTGTGTAATAAGAAACGGTATCAAATAAAAATACTTACCATTTTATCCGTATTTACATAATTATTGATGTAAAGAATGTTGGTCCACCAGGAGGCCATGCACCTTTCTTGTTCCAACAGCAACCTGTCCTGCCATAGAGGACCTTCTCCCATCTTCGGTAGCCAGGTCATGTAGAACAGAATCACCACCACGTACGCAGGTGTTACTCTGCAATGAAACAAAATAAGTTGTAAGGATCGTACTAAGTGATACTCTTTAGTTTGAACCCTCATGGGACAAAGGAGTGAGTCTATGTGAGTACTAAAAAAAATAGTTAAATAAAATGAGTGAATTTGAAACACGCCTATTTCTTTTGAAGTAACACTCCCATTACGGCACTTATACAAGTTAGTTATTGATTTGCTGTTTAGAGAATCAACCAACTTCTTTCGTCGAAAAATCAACATAACCGTATCAGATCATTCCGAAGAACGATAGGACTTTCTGTGCGTTCGTAGAATTGGTGCCAAGAAAACCCTTGATCATAATAAAACTCTTAAAACGGATATTCTTATCGGCTGTCACGCACGAAATATCAAAATGTAAATTTTAGGTTCGATAATAAATTCTAGGCACGGCTAAAGTGAACCATCGATTAACTTTATATTCGGTTTGGGACCTGTCACTTTCGCTTAGACTTGGGTCAATCTAATGTATTTTCAGACAGTTTCAGAAGTTTATTTTATCGACCTGAATTATTTGAAATGTTCGCTGAAATATTTAAACGAGAGAGCTCCTTGAGGCAATTTCAGTTTATAAGTGAATTTGTGTGAAACTCTTTCGAAATCATATTTAGAATCTCATTTGATTATGCACAAAGCTAAAATAGTTCTACGGGCAAAGTTCTTGGAACTAATTAACCTTACAACGATTCGAAAAAAGTATTTTCATAAATATTTGAAAATACAGTCGTCTAAAGAGCTCTAATATACTCTAGTTGTAATAAACTACAGCTGTAGTAAATGCGACAAACTAGAATTTCTAGTAAACATAGCCTGCTGTGTCTACAAATCCTAGTATTAAGTCTACCAACAATACCCATAGTATTATAAAATCACTGAGCAAAAAAAAACTGTATTATTCATTTACATAAAAGCAATTTCACAAACCAGCACCACACCGCCACAAAAAGGTCAAAAGAGCCAGTCCTATTGAAAACAATAAACAGCTGAGCTAAGCCAGAAATGAGCTAGCTTTTATATAAACTGAAGAGAAATCCGTTAAGTTAATAAGGTTTATTTCACACTACAAAGGGTATAACGTTCATTGTACACAGCAGTTATTGGGCCCAAGCTTGTTATTTGCAAAAAGAGGAAGTTAGTTGCGTTTTGATGAAATTCAGGAACAAAACCTTTGTGTGAAGAAAATGGCGTGTTTCCAGGTTAAACGGCGGCTTTAAGTCAGTTTTTGCGTCAGCGAAATAAATAATAGGCTGAGTTTTAGATAGTAGATCGTATTTTGTACCTTAGCGTTAAGCTTAAAAGTTTTAAGGGTTTAAGTCAAGACTGAATGACGTGATGGAAGCGTATAGCCATCTCAAAAGAAATTCTGTTTTTGTAAAAGAAACTAATCTCATAACACAGAAATAATTAAAGATTAAAGTAGAGTATCAAACAAAATGTATTATTCTTAAATTTATTGGTTAGTGTTAATCCCATAGTGCAAAAATAAACAAGAAAAAAGGGACCTTACCTAATATACCGAAAGATCAAAATCGGTATTACGTTAAGTTTGCCTCTTCTTTTGTCCAACTCGACAAGCAACAGTCTTGAAAAGAGGAAGGCGCTCAGCATCAGGAATGTGTCTACTAGCAACGTGTTGTTTAACATGAAGGCATTTGCTGGTTGACGGACTAGCTGTAAAACAAATTAGACAATTATTAGTGACTTAAGAGTTAGAACATAATATACTTTTTTCAAAGTTGATACCTATCTAAAAATGTCTTTTAAGTACTACTAATTTTAACACTGAAAACTGATTCCTAAACAATAACTATCGTGATACTACCTCTATACAAAATAGCTCATGTACAAGAGTTTCGGTGTGACTTGAAACTAGTAGAGTCTTTAAACAGTTCACGTGATTGAGTTATAATATCTTCTTTTTTCGTCGATTAACCAAGATAATAATTAAAAAGTCTTATAATCTTTATTTTTGCTGAATAAAAATTGTACCGATAACACTCTAAACACTCTTCACAAGATCATACAATTAACAGTACGTGCCAAAGCTACAGACTTTACGATTAGTTTCCTTAATCTAAGTTGACCTTGAAAATAAGCCTAGCAGTTGTACAACTAAAACGGAGTCCTGATTGCGGATAAAATTTATGCGATACTGTATCTTAGAGAGAGGCTCCTAGCATAATTAGAAGCTCTGTGCAAATCCAAATAAACTGGTTGCCCTTGACTCCATAGAACAGAGCAGATAATACCAGGAGATCAAGCGAGAAAACTTTGACATAATTTATACTGTGTACCCTTAATTTTATGGGAATAGGGCTGTCCGAAGAACGATAAATTTAATCAGTCTAAAACATTTTTGGTAAATGAAAGGGTAATTCATTGATGTGTCGATTAGAAATGTTACTCAAGACTAATGATTAATTAAAACATTGTTTGTTTATATCGATTTAATATTTCTCTATTACAGTTTTTATCTATTATCTACAGGGTGAAGGTACTGTTAAAGAGTAAGGTAAAGTTTTATGGGGTTTTTTTCAAAATATTGGACTCTGGTGTGATAATGATTGCAACTTTCTTCCTGGTCCCCCACAACAAAGATAATTATAAAACATTATCCTTTATCCGTAATCGTCCGTACTATAAAGGTCTTAAGATAAAATATAATTTTAGGCAACCCTATAAAAAAGACTTAATTACAGCGAAACCTGCCCCTAGCAACAACGTTATATTAATTAAATATTGCCGAATATATTATTCATAAAATTGATAAAATTGGCATGAAATATTCGTATAACATTTTTAAAACAACTTTTTGGTTACAACAAAAAATCAATACTTTTTATTATAATCCTCTCTAGTTGGATACATCAACTGAAGCCAGGAACGATAAGTTGTATGTACAATCTAGAATTGCTAAAAATAACTTTAAAATGTATATTTACCCGGTCCCAAGCATCAGCGTCCATGACAGGTCCACTGGCGATGAACATACAAGCGTGGCCAGCAATGATAAAGATCATAGCCAAAGCTTTAATACCAGAGACGCACTCCAAGCCTAGAGTGTTATGCTGCTTCGTCGAGATGATCTTCTTCATATTATTGATCATGGAGAAGGAAATGATCAGGGTGGAGATCAACGACTCCTTTTTGTTTCCGTAGTAGATTGTATAGATTTCGTATAGGGTACTGAAGAAGAGAATTGTTACGAATAGCAGGATCAATGATCTGGAATGGAAAGAAATTGGTGATGTGAAAATTTTTATCACAAAATTCATATTGGCATAAAGGGCATTCACCTCATCTGCCCATAGTCTGAATGATTGATCATAAGACTCATAAAACCATCCACGTTCGATTTTTTTATAATCTTAATGTGAAATCCTCGTAACTGATCATCAGACATGCTAATGGGATTTTTTGTTTGAAAACCTACAACAGAATCCATTATTTGCATTTCATATTACAGTAACACCATAATTGTACAAACAAACTGCTATTTTTATCATCGAAGCTTCAATGCAGCTGGCACATCCACTCGATCAAATAACAGCAAACATCAAAACTGCTAAGCGACTTTGAACCTTAAATCTACTGATGCTACCTTTATTGGCGCAAAATTTACAACCCCCAGAAAACCCATCGAAACACGAAAATTATTTTATGATGAAACTGTATCATCAAGTATTAATGAAAAAGAAAAGTAATATTATCTTCCGTTGTGAGATCAATCATAATATGTCAGATGAAGCGTCTGTACGGCTGTACGGCTGCTACGGAGAAAATATGTGTGTTCTTAACAAAGTATGTTTACACACAAGAAAAGAAATAAAAACAAGTAATTGGCGTGATTTTTCTGCTGGTTCAATTGCTTATTTCGTTTGTTGAATGTCGAAATGGAAAAAATATGGTAGTACCGTGTTTATTGTTACAATTGAAATCTCTAGCTATTTGTAAATTGTTAATTTTTGACTATGTATTCATCTTGAACGAATTTAAATTGAACATAGACATACACTAGGTCGTATAAGGTAAACAGCTCAATCTAGCGTTTTTATCAACTAAAACATATCATTAAAAAGTCATAACTCTATAGTTACGACATCTGTGTTCATAACACTTTCGATAATTTTATTAACTTTTTCATTATTACTCTTCTTAACCCTTTGAGTACCGTGATTATAGACACAATTAAAGAACAATAGGTTGCGGTCACCGGTGTCCTCGCGGTGTTTGACAGTTTAAGAAGAACATTCCTTTGACAAGAAATACTATTCCTTTTAATTACCAAAATACACAGTACAATTCAAGTTAAGTCCATGTACTCCACTCCACTATTCATTAACTTTATCGCGCAGTCAAAACCTAGTTCTAATACCAGTAATCAGAAATTTTAAGTTGTAAAACTTGAAGTAAGTATTCCACTAAAAGTAAATCTAAGCATTAATTAACATCATTCATCATAATCTAGACACTCGGCAAGTTAATTACAAGACTGAAACCTAATTATACCTTATGTCAGGCGAAATTCTGAATAGAGGGAATTAGTGGAGGCTTGTTCTTAAGTAATTCCTCCTTAAATGGCGCCCTTTTTACCGCGACATGTCATAAAGTATTGGTTATATTGAGTTTGACCATTTTAACAGTCCGTCTATGTGCATTGACTGTAGTACTTTGGACTAATAAATAAAATGCATGTTTTGCTGAGTCGCGTGCATATTTCTTTCGATTTATAGTAAATTCACCCGCAGGGTTGGCAGAGGTGCACATTACAGGACTTAATGCCACTGCACAATGTAAGATCCACTTTTCATTATTCATGTTATGAGTCCCATGTAATAGGGGGTGAGCCTATTGCCACATACTGGGCACAATTCCAGACTCCGTGATACTACTGGGAATTTTTAAAACCCAGTAATATTTGGCCCGTGGCAAAATCGAACTGTCCGGCAATCGCACTTGCGACCACTCGGCCAACGAGGCAGACATAATAAATTCATTACTTGAGAAAGTAATTTAATTGTTATCTTTTTATGAGTTTTTTGGATGTTGCTTGCTTCTTAGAAATATCATTATTACCTATTAATGTAATATAATAAAGTTTTACAGACATAGGGTGCGTCGGGAACAACCCTCAGAGTTGTAAGTATTTTTTCCAATGCCTATAATTATTTTCAAGTTAACGTAGACATATATAGCAATTAATATTACGTTAGGGAGATTGGGTGCAGTATATTTATACCGTAATTAAATAAAGTAATTTTGATTGATCTGTTATTTAATTAGAGTCTTTTCAAGATTTGTAATAATTTAAAAAGAAATGGTTTGAATCAAAATAGTTATTCCATCATATATCAAGACTGCACGGTTGACACGGTGGCTAGGCAACCAACGGAACAACTCTTTGTGTTCCGGGTCTGGGTATCATGTGTATGTGAACTTGTATGTTCGTAAACGCACCCACGATACATGAGAAAATCCTAGTGTGGGGCAACGTTTTTAAAACCGAAAAAAAAATGTAGGAGAATTATTACTAGAACTAGTAAAAGATATAATTTGTTAAAAGAACGAATATTAACAATGCAGCTTCAATACAACTGACGCTTCCTCGTGCTTTCAGCAGCTGTAGCCAAATGCCATTTAGCGCTTGTCTACATGTAGAAAACTAAATTAAATGTAATTGACGTAAATTTTGACACTTGTCAGAGTCATCGCCATACATTTAGTTTTCTACTCTCTCTGTAGACAAGTGTTAAAGTAGCGTTTGGCTAAAGGCCCTGGTTTGGTGAAGGCGGGATGAGTAGACGAGAAATCGTCACGGCTTTAAGGCTTCGATCTGGACGTATGCCTCTCAATAGTTTCGGATTCATGATGCATAAAGACGAATCACCCAATTGTGCTGTATGTGATGTTGTAGAGGACGTGCAACACATTTTGTATGAGTGTCAAATGTACCAAGTCTTCAGTTTTAAGAGCTTTTATATTGGTTTTTGTCACAGTGTTTTAGCGTCACCATTGATTCATTGCCATCTCAGGCTAGAAAATTGTATCGTTTAATTATTTTATGTTTAGCTTCTTTATTTTAGTAAGTATGTATTGAATTTTGTATTCAATAATAGGACTGACGTTTATCTCTTAGGTAAAAAGCCCTTCTTATAAAATAAAGATTAAAAAAATACAGTGTAGCCGTCATTATGATCAGCGTCGATTCTGAAATTTTATCTCCAGTTTATTTGACCTACATTTATTTAAACCAATATTCAAAATTCTTTCAATAACAACTGCAAAGCCGCAAAGCAACCCAATAGAATAATTGGTACCAAACCTAGCATAAAGTCGAGTCGATTATGTCGTCCAATATCATCGCGGGCCACACTAAATCATGGAAAATGGAAGAAATATAGGGGTGGGTTGGTAACCTGTATGATTTATTGCCAACGGCCTGCCCTAGTGTGTGGCAATGTGGACATAAGAGAAAAAAAACACTAGTCTCTCTATTGTTACCAGCTGTGGGCGTTTTGTGAAAAAAATTGCAAAGGTGAAAAAAGGAAACGGTTTTTATGATTTTAATTGAATTTTAAGAACAAGCAGGTTATTCAAATTTATTCTGTTAGTACTCTATTGATGAGTACTATTCGGAATAGGTAGAAAGATTAACGTAACTTATTCGGCAATTCAAAAACGTACTTATGATTATAAAAAATTCAAATAAAATAAAACTCGATTAATCAGAAATAGTCTACATGACATAATTTTATTCGAGATCGTTTTGATTGAGTGCCAATTTTGAGAGTGCGAGTGAATCAAAAAGTTCAAGTGTGGGAGAGCCATGTTTTGGCACGAATGGATCTGCTCGACCGGAGTGATACCACGGCCTCACAGACATGAAACCACTTTTGCTTTGTATTTCGTCGTTTGATTGAAGTTACCCGAGGCCCAATTACCCCCTTCCTCTATCTCCCCAATCCCCAAATCTCCAACAATCCTCAAATTTCTAATCCACAAAAGACTGGTACACTTGTAACACCTCTGGTGTATCAGGTGTCATTGGCGGCGGTCTGCTCGTTTACCGGTTTGTTCCATAGAAAAAAAAATAAAGAACAAAAGTGAACTTTAAGCACTTACAAATAAGCCACATCCAGGGAAGTGATGGCGAGTGGTCTTCTAGTGTAACAATCTGTTTCAGAGACTTCAACACTAGTAGTATTGCTGACAGTATGGGCTAGGACACTGCTGACGAAGTTTGCTACTGACTTGGCGTGACAAGCGCTTGGCACGCAAACTGCCCAGCGAAGAGTCTCACCACGACCGGTTCTGATCTGAAAGAGGAATTGAAATCGTGTAAGAAGTAGTATTTTACATGCTATAATTAAAAACTGATTCGTGTACCGAATGGTAGCGCTAAGTAACAATAAAGAGCCGCGGAGAATCTAACGGGTTACCGGGGCTCCGGCTCGAAATGCAAGAGAAGTAACTTTCCCCCCTTAAAAATAAGTAACAATAAAGAACATTTAAAATAAATGTATCATCATCCCTGTTCTTACTATAGGTACCGTAATAGACTACAAATTCGACAAAAGCAGAGCAACCGTGTTGTGATAAATCTGAACCTATTAAAACTGCGATCTCCCCGACCCCTTGTCAAATGTGAAGATTATGGCAAACCCTCTTATGTATGACCATAGTATAGTCAGGCAGTGGAATATCATGAGCTATTATTGTGTCGAATGTAAGCTAATAGTCTTAGGGTGCGGCCACATCTTTGCGAGCGGTCGGTGAACTGCGTCCGTGCATTCACGGCAATCGTTTGGCGCACCTCTTTAGTTTACCTCGTGCAAGGCTCGTAGAAATGCACGAGCGCAGCTCGAAACGGCTCGCAAGCGGAACATTCGTCAGATGTGGACACACCCTTAGATTCTTCAACGAAAATGCTATCGTTCTTAACTAACCCGCTGACCTAATGATACACATGTAGCAAGCGTTAAAACTTACACATTTGTATTATATATGTTGTGTTAATTAGATGCTAACATTAATATTGAAACAACATCTATTTTTGTTGGAACTATAACATAACTAATGAGGTGTAAAATTTAGCAGCTAGACTGTACAATTATTTAATGGGCTCTGTACACGTTGTAAAACTCTGCAAAACAATTTATAACTTGTTTTGCTCTAAAACCTACTGCATATAAAACTTTTATATTATGCTGATTTCGATTTAGAAGTCACTTTTTTCACGGATCACCTGAGTGCCAAGCACGAGTAACAATCGCATTCGTAACTTATAGTGTCGAGCGCGTTTGGCGTTTTGATTGGCCGGCTCCAGAGAACCAACCAATCAGAACGACGAACTCGCTCGATACTGTTACGATACGAATGCGATAATTATTCGTGGTTGGTAATCAGATAGTAAGATATCAGCCCTGCCCATTGACAATTGTAACACCAGAGGTGTTACAAACTCGTTAATCGTGACTTGTCAACTTGTGCATGTACTGCTTACTTTATCGAAGACTAAAAATTCAATGTTATGTCAAGTAATCTTAAACACAGAGGCATAGAGTACAAAGTCCAACTTAACTCATTCAAAGGCTCTTAAATAAAGCCTCATGTCATTGCTAAGTAGAATCAGTGAGATTACTGTAAGACACTTATAACTAAGTTCTAACATAATGCCCTGAACTCAAGTTGCACTACATAGTAATCTAGTTACGCTACACTCTATAGTTCTCGTTACAGGATTGTATACGGTACCATTAAGTTATAACTACTATGTTTGAATTAGTAGACTCAACATAATGTAATACTTTTTTATGACTGAAGTGACATGTTAGCAACTTCAGCATCAATAGCCTATAAATGCCCACAGCTGAGCAAAGTCTCTGCTCATTATATAAAGTTAATCAAAGAGCATTAATCACTACGCTTGCTCAATTAGAAATTATAAACCCAGGTTTCCTCCTGATGTTTTTCTTCACCGTTTGTCAGTGGTGTCTAGATAATCTTAGAAAGTACATGTAACTCGGAAAAAGTCACAATGGTACTTCCCGTTGGTAAGTTTCGAACCCGTACCCTCATGCATGAGATCTTAAACCTCCGGGTCACCACAATAAGTGATAGTTACACATATACAATACAGGTTCAAACATGCTATTCGTCAATTATTTTATATGTCCAACTAGTTTTTGCCATCGGCTTCGTCCACATTCCCGTTGGACAAAAAGTAGCACGAATGGGCCGGCTCGACCCGTGATACCACGGCTTCAGAGAACACTGACATGAAACAGCGGTTGCGTTGTGTATAAGTGAGGTTACAGGAGGCTCAATTAACCCCCGCCCCAGCCTTTCACGATCACACTTTGTGTGATCCACAAATTGTTGTTTCGGGTCTGGGTGTCATGTGTATGTGAACTTGTATGTTTGTGAACGCACCCAAGGAGATAATCCTAGTGTGGGGCAACGTTTTTTTAAAAAAAAAGAAAAAGAGCCTCTCCAATCCCTGATTCCCCAAAAATTCTCAATTTCCTAATCCCTAAAAGGCCGGTAACGCACTTGTAACGACTCTGGTGTTCCAGGTGTCCATAGGCGACGCCGATTGCTTGCCATCATGTAATCCGTCTGATAATTTATTGGTGCTTAATAATGGAACTTACTTTAAGACCAATAATGCGTTTACTTAAAAAATAATTCGATAATTACCTTCTTAGTCTCATGTTTTTGCCGCCATTTAATAGTAGCGAGGCAGTACTGTCCTTCAATTGTAACTCCATTGTATCCAGGGTCTTCAATGGCGACACACTCGTCGAAGTTTCCCAAATGGTAAGAAGACCCAAAGAGTAGACCTTGAGGAGACTTTGCTGATGCATCGAACACTGGAAAAGAAAGAAAGGTAACGTCAAATAAATCTTCAATTAAGTAATGATCTTACAAATTAACAAAATGTCAGCAGGACTGTCTAGGAATGTGCAGTCTCGATGTGTTTATACTTATTACTATTAAATGATCATATCGCATTCTAGACAAAATACTACCTATACGATGTAACCTATAAGGATTATTATCAACATTATAATTTCATTAATCATTTATGCGCTTTTTAAGGGGGGAAAGCATTTATGCGCTAAGGAACCTGTCTTTTAATTACGAACAACTTAACATAACATCACTCCTTTTATCCCTGAAGGGGTAGGCATAGGTTCAGATTACGGCACTTAATGCTACTGTACAATGTAACACATCCTTTCCACTATTTATGTTATGAGTCCCATGTAATAGGAGGTGAGACTATTGCCATTATATATAAATTATATGTATTATACCGGGCACAATACCAAACTCTCAAAATATTTTTTTAACCCAATAATACTTTGCCCGACATGGGAATCGAACCCGACACCCCTTGCCCGTCAGTCGCACTTGCGCCCACTAGGCCAACGAGGCAGGCACCTTGAAGAATTACCATCAATATTTAAACATTCATCATGTGTTTAGAAGCATTTCCTTTGATCTCGAACAACATGCTTAATATATAAGAATATACAAATTGAATATAAAAGATGTGCCTTTTACTGTTTCACATTACCTCACATTACTTAACTAAAACGCACCTAATGCCAACGACATAAAAGCCTCTCAAAACTACCGTTTGAGAAGGAATTAAATAACAATTCATTTGAATTCAAAACATACTCTCATTAATCTTAATACACTATATGTAGTGTATACATTACAAAGAAATATGTTTCTTTGTCAAAATGTGGAAAATTACCAAAAAGTACTTCGGTTTCATTGATGTCATGCGTAATACTACAGCACCTATATTTATGACCATCGTTTGTATGTACGTTTGTAAACGAAACACGTTGAAATTGCTGTACCCATTCTAATTAGCTCATTAAGATGACTATCGTCAAAACAATCATGGATCTTAGCTTAACTTGCTTAGTTAGATTTTACGTTCTGTTTTGACAAAGAGATTTTATCATAGAAGTTATTTATATTCCTAATATTGAGTTCAGAACATTTTGCCTGTTTAGCAAATAAATATTGCCTATAGAATAGAATAGAATATAACTTTATTGTACACCATTAATAATACCTACAGTACATACAGAAAAGGAAATAACAAATATAAATTTGCCTATTTATCTCTGTGTATCCAATCCCTTGTTGGTCTATGACTAATAGGTGTTTGTAGGTGAGATTGTAGCTACAGGCACAGATCCGTACAACTTACTCAGAATTTCGAAATTGACAAAATCAACAATATATCATAAAAATCCCTTTGCCAAGTCATTTTGTTGTTTAATTTAATTCACATTTAGTAAGCAACATACGGAGGAATATAAAACCACATTTACCTATTTTCTTAGATTATCTACCGCATTTTATTTCACAGTATACTGTTATAACCACAGAATCTGGTAAATGTTGATCTTGATCTGTGTGAATCATGAATTAGATCAACTATCACTACGTCAACGATGGCAAAACTGGGCTTTAAAAGTCAATGATGACTTACTATGGATAACAATTACCCGTGACGTGTACCTCGTCCTTTCATGTTTTATTTTCTTTTTACGTTATACACTGAATCATATTTTAAATGATGAACTATTCTATGATAAGCGTTCTAAATATCTTGTAGGGCTTTTATACGACGAAGTACATATACAACCCTCGATGTATTTTATGGTGTCGCGTCCCAGTAAGCTTAATAATATTATTTTCTCTTTTTTAAAAAATGATAATAACATATCCTTCTTCTCCTTCCCATCGGTTTCATACCTTACGTATTTATAAAAAAAATACATAACATAACATCACGCCTTTTATCCCCGAAGGGGTAGGTAGAGGTGCACATTATGCCACTGTACAATGTAACACCCACTTTTCACTATTTATGTTATGAGTCCCAAGTAATAGGGGGTGAGCCTATTGCCATATACCGGGCACAATTCCAGACTCCGTGCTACTACTGAGATTTTTTTTAAAACCCACTAATGCTTTGCCCGACCCGGGAATCGAACTCGAGACCCCTTGCCCAGCAATCGCACTTGCGACCACTCGGCCAACGAGGCAGTCTTTTCGGTAAAAAAAAAATCATTATACAAAATAATCGAATTTCTCTTTTTTTCAATACGCATACACAGAAGTATTTCAAAATCTCGTTCCCGATCTCTAACCCACGGTAACTGTCCAATTCCCCTACTTCCACACACGCATCAATCTTTCTCATTGTTCTAAAACAAAAGAATCAGCTCATATTGCGGAAAACCATAGTCCTTGTAGCCAATTCTCACGAACCGTTAATGGTTTCCCAGTAACATTGAAGATGACATGTTTAGTAATTATGAGGATGTCGCGGTATTTTGGCGTTGACAGTACGTAGGGTTGTAATTTTTGGCATGTTGTGATTTATATTGGCAATTCAATTAACTGATATTTTCATTTGCTATGTTAATATTTATTTTCGTTCAGGAAAATTATATGGATTCTTAATGATGTGTGAATATTGTGCCTGTATTATCAATTTACACAAGATAGAATCTACGAGTATATAAAATGAAAGCAACACCTGCTTGCTTCATTCAACGTAGTTTTAGTTTATAGGTAAAGGCGTAGCTCATCACGCCGATCGTAAAAAAAATAGATAGGGCAAAGTCCCGTAACGCCGGACGGCTCCTAACGCCGGACATTTGTATTAACTCGATAACTGATAACACGAGCGATTCAATTTTGACTTAAAATCTTAGGTGTCTGCCATTGCAGAACTAAAGATTGAATCGCTTGCTTTATTAGTTATCGAGATAATACAAGTGTCCGGCGTTAACGGACTTTCCCCTATCCTTGTCGAACCTACTTTTAACAATGACTTCCAAAGGACAAAAATAATGTTAAATCTACATCTTCAATCGCATTTCATTTCTAAATAGTGCCAACTCATACCAACAAATAATAATTCATCGTTCAATGTGTACATTAAAAAAAAACTATGTATCAGAGACCACAGAACAAATAAATATATGAACTTCGTTCCTTCATTCACAGTTATTCGCTAATAACTTTTACCAATAACTCATGGGAGGTTTTCATGGAAACAAAACGCGTTAGATTTCACGCTCCATTGAAACAGATTAAAGAAAATTCACACGTTTTATGAGACGATGATGAATGATCAGGTTAGTCATTGGGTTTTCCAAAGACTTTTTTTCAATTGATACTCTAAACCCAAGTTTCTGGTATCGACTTTTTTGGTAAGCCCAACTTTCGATCTCCGGGTATGACAAAGTGATATGAAAAGTCTAAGCATATTTACTACAAACACACTTTAAAAAAAAAGTAGGTGTCGGTACTGTTTTTAAGGGGGGATAATCATCGAATGACTTCTCCCGCCTGGATGAGGCGAGAAGGAGTGTCACCACAGATATATTATAGAACATTAATATTTCTATGAGTGTCACACTGTTAGTGACTAAAAACCACCCAGTTCCTACTCCTGCACTTCGAGCCGGAGCCCCGGTAACCATTTACGTTCTCCGTAGCTCCGTATCGGCATCAGCCTTATTGACTCCCATCCGTAGTAGTCTAATGGCTCTTTGAACCCTGCACGGAACGCGAAGCTCCGTACGCTCGGGTCTGGTTCTGGGTGCTTACTCTTGAAACTAATCTCAATGTCAATGCAATATCAATCCAATAAAATCTCAATAGTTATTCAATAACAACACTATACAACTCGATCGTAGCTGTTCCAATAGCATTCAGAGTACGGAATATAAAGCCAAACTCAATACCATTTAGTTCATTAAATATCCACGCAATACGAATGCAATGGGCGCTAGTGTTGCAACTCAAGAGTACGAAATTTCACAATACCAATGTCGATCGATCAGAATTGGATTCAAGAGTAAGCCTCCTGGTCGGGCCTCGAGCTACCCGTGCTCGAGGTCTGCAGGCCTATGCAGGTCCAAGTACTATAAGTACAATTTCACCTTATCTCTATTAGAAAATAATTCATTAATGAAATAACTAAACTACCCAAAATTGTCGTTTAGGTAACTTGTTACAATTACTAAACCACTTTACATTTCCTTTGCAAGTCACAAATGGAAAAAGATTAAATTAATTTTCCTTGGAAATACCAGGGTATAATAAATATGCAGATAATGTCAAAGATTAGGTTGGTTGCAGTGAAAAATTTCGCACTCAGTGTACAATTTTATTGCGAGCACGCTAACTTAATGTTAAATGGTAAGAAAGGGTCATTTGTCTTAAGATTTGTGTAAGGCAAACGAAATTAATTGCACTTTTAGTTAAATTAACACTTTGGTACTTATAAACTACAGTTTTGTGTAATTATAAACCACTGACAGTGGTAGTACGTGCCATAATATGCATATTACCTTTCCCTGCCTCTTCAGGGATAAAAAGCGTAACGGCATAAAAAATAACACGTAAACATTTTTATAATAACTATCGTGGGACAAAGGCCTTTATAAATTAAAATAAAAAGACAACTATTCACGATAATTCATTCACTCGGTCACCTGCATGCATCGTAGGTCAGTAACCCAATCCCACTAAAGCAAATATTTAATTCAAATATAACCTAGATAAACAGCTATTAGTAAAAATATTTAAGCTCATAAATCCTAAATCTATGTTCGACACCTCATTGACATACTCATACCTGCATTTGTGTTTGTTTAGTCCAAAAATGGTAGTTAGACATATGACAAAAAGCAAATAGTATCGTAAAAATTGATTGCCATAGTGACTCAAAATGAGGTTGTGTAGTTGTAGTTTGACAAACGCATTATTATTTATACTGTAGTAAATGTGTCATTACCCTACTTTTTAATTTATACATACA